AAAATTAGCAGCCTATAGATGGGTAAAATTAGTTTTCTGGAATTAGTCAAGTAAATATGCATCCAAACCTCATGCAACTACAGAAAATCCAGGTCTAAGCAGATTGGCTCATCATTCACTCTCGCCTCATTTCACAGCCATTACAAAATATTTAGTGACTAAATAAGGCGAAAGTGGAAGAAACTGCACCGCCTTACTAAAATACATAATAATACTTCAATTGACAGTGTCAATATGAAAAGACTGCAGCTTACTGTGCTGAATGCTGTACAGCTTCCTCCCGGAGCTTCAATCTCTTCTTCAGCTGAGATGTGCGTGATGAACGATGAAGATACTTGCGTTTTCCCTTGCATTCAAAAGTCCAGTGCCCATATTCAAGACACTTCTGGCACCGAGCACCTTGAGGAGGGTAAGAACTAAAAATAAAATCAAAAATTAATTAATTAATTCCATATGAAGTGTAAAGAAACTGTCAGTAAAAACATGCCAAGTATTTTAGCTTCCTTCTTTGATGTGGTCATAACCCGATAGTTCTGCTAATCTAATCAGTCATTCAAAACATTAAAAGTAAGATATGGCACTTTGCTCTTCATCCTTCACAATTTATCCACCATAATCACCCTATTATCTATTGTTCAACATTGTGTAGTCTCTGTAATTAATAAAGCATCATTAAATAATCTAATGAACAAACAAAATAACCATGATCAATATATCTTTACAATATGGAGAACAGTTACACATTTTTTTTTCATGTTCTGATCTAGTTATACTGTTTACTAACAAACTTCTGCAGTCATGGTAAAATCAAAATAAATATTTTATTTTAATATTTGGATTTATTTGTGTATGATACAAACATGGTGACATCATGTTAGGTTATGTTAAACTAAATTATGTTAATCCCATATAATTTACTTTGTATCAATTGCTGGGTGTTTAATGTACAAATAAAACAATAATTTTGAAAATTCAAAAATATGTGTCATTAACTGAATGTTTTATTAAACTCTGGTGATCTTTTGATTTGCTAATATCAGTGGTCAGTGAGCTTCCAAGTCATCACTCCTTTTAGCATAACTGAAAGGACTTTTTAAAAGAATTAAACCAGTTCAATTACCTAGTATCATATAACTGCTTAGTAAATTCCATAATCATTACAATACAATCATTAAATATATCAGGTAAATAAAAATGATTTGTATTACAGCATTTTACATATATATAAATCCCAAAATTCAGTGACAATTTACAGAGTATATAGGTTGTAATAGGTTAAATAGATTAAACAGGTTAAATAAATTAAAATTTCCTAATTGCTCTGAAATGGTTCTGATATTGGGGAACAATAAAACATGGAATTCCCCAAGGGTCAGTTACAGGCCACTTGCTTTTCATAAATACATAAATGACCTTCCTCCAACAATAAAGAACTTATCAAAACACATAATATTTGCTGATGATATAAATGTAATAATTGCTAGCAAAGATTTTGATGATTTCTGTACAACATCAAGCATATTTCTCTCTCATATGAGTAAATGGTTCACTGCTAAAAAGTTGGCCCTAAATCTAGATAAAACAAATTGAAATTGATAACAAATAATTCGCCATAATAAGCCAGTACAAGTATCGGTTATAATGGAAAGTATATAGAAGAGTCAGTAAATACACAATTTCTTGGTTTACAAATTGATAACCACACAAATATGGAAAAATTCATATTGATCAAATGGTTCCAAAGTTAAATGGAGCATCTTATGCAGTTATATCTATGTTTCATGTCAGCAATGCTGACACTCTCAAATCAGTTTATTTTGGTTAATAAAGTCTTCTCAGTCAATTTCCCAAGAAGATTTTTTTTGAGTTTAGTTGTTGCAAAAGATTCAAATCATATATCAGTTTATTCTGCCTATTTTCACTCTATAATGAAGAAGGAAAATTTTTGAGGGGGAATTCAACCAACAGAAAAAATATATTCATTTCACAAAAGAAAGTTGTTAGAATAATGGATGGTGCCAAACCTATAAATTCGTGTGTAAGTCTATATAAGAGATCTGAGACTAGATGACTAGACTAGACTTCACTGAGCTGGATTAGACTGAATAAGATAAGATGCATTACATGGATCCTTGTTAATCAGAATGTAGAATAAGTTTGTATATGACCTAACATAACAAGCTAGCCATGCTTAACAACATAAGACCAATCACATAAAACTGACATAAATGCTGAAAATACAGTTCCTAAGAACAGGGAAGAAATAATAACAATAAAATAATACGCAAAGAAAAAAATGTGTATGACAAATTATATACCACATTCTTACATAAACAAGAGTATGTTCATATAACTATTTCACAGAAAGTTTTGTAATTAAGAATACAATTAATAATGTCATTAATTATGGAAGATTTATAAATTGATAAACAGAATAATATATGTTAAAGTGTATATAAATCCCAAATTAAGATTTAAGTGAGTTACATTACTAAGCAAAGACCTGTATTATATTACACTTGTTTGTATTAGAACTAGTGACCTTAAATGAAATACAAAATCATATATCAAGGTGAAGTTGACTGTCTTCTGGCATGTTGCACTATGTAATCTGGAAGAAAGTGACATTTCAGAAGTGCTTACTGACTATCAGGACACACCGACGACAGAGGCAGTAAGCAATTCTGAAACGTCAGTCAGTATCTACCAGACTACATGGCACATCATCCTAAGAGACAGCCATCTTCATACTCACTGGTGTGAAAACCCCAAATCTCATAGATTAAGATAATTGGATAGAAAAGAATAATGTATGTTGGATTTAACTATTGTAGATGAACCTCATATTCAGAAAAAGCCGAGCAATATACTGTTAAGATTATTCTCCAAATTCATATTAACTAACAGTAACAAGACCTAACATACAAACTCTTTAACCTACCCCCAATAAATTAATAAATGAGTATAATTTATGCCTGTATTCCTATAATTTCTTTAGCCTCGAGCTTTTCGTTCAGACCTGATAATCCACCATCCAATGTCCTTTCATGAAAGTGATTGAAAATATAGTCAGCTACTGAGGTTAGGTTAGAGTAAGGTATTAATGTTGAAATATATAACAAATGAATTTTAATTATGTTACGTTATTACAAGAATCACTTACTTCTTCTTTGCTAACATACCGCCACTTCCCACAGTCATTACTCTTACTATAATGATAATTGTTCTCAAATACCACAAATAAGACAAATACGTACTATATTCTAATGCCTCTATCGAACGCAAGCCGGAAGTAATATTCTCATACGCCTCCACAATTAGTTCCTCTACCTTTTCTGAGTACAAGCAAGCTACGTATACAGATGGCTGGTTGGCTTCTGAGTTGCTGTTTAGTACAAGTTTACCTAAATTTCAGAGACGCTTGCTACCTCTAGCATAAGGGAGACGAGTGGAGGCAGGAAACACCTCTGAAACGTCGGTAAACTTTACCATACTACACGGCTCAGCAGGCCAAAAGACATCCATCTTCATACTCGCCGTCTAAAATCTCACATACATATCACGTTATTCGAAGCCGGTCCACGGTTTTGCAAAATTAAATTTATACATCCGTGTAACCGCTAAATTAGATTAGATATACAAATAGTATCATAAAATAGTATTATCAGTTTGCAGTCCCATTAAAATGATTGAAATTATTTTTCTCTTTCGTTCGTGTGCCCAATCCGCTACACCAAATAAAATGTAGGCCTATTGCTGTCTTAACGTTAATATCAACACCGCTGTCTCAAGTACGTGAGCTTTGCAGTGATAAAAAATCTGCGTTATAACGCATGCCATTGACGAACGTAAAAGCGCACGAGTGTAGACATAGCTTTACAGTGCTGTATACAAATAGCTAAATTTTATGTCAAATTTGTTTGCTTGCACTTGTTCTGGAAGGGGGAGTGAAAATTATGAAATGTTTTAAGGGGGCGCAAGGTATAAAAGTTTGGGAACCTCTGGGCCAGACGATTAAAACATACATTCTGTAGATTACTGAATATTAAAAAGGCCTGATATTTAGCCAGAACTTAAAATCTTCTTAATTTTTTAATTTTGATTAATCGAGTCCCCAATGCTCTATGTGATATAGATTGATGTAATTAACACGATCACAATACAGCAGATTCACACTTGTTAAATTAATGACTTGTATAAATACGGTTGTAGGTTGGTATCGATTCCAACAATCTCTCACATCATTTATAATTGAATGAATATTTATATTATTTTCATTTAAGCACTTATCTGTGGTTAGAGCCGTGAGTAAGGCAGCGGTACATACGCACGTAATCAAATTATTGGTGTCAAAAGTTTGATTAATAACGTCCCGTACCGTGTAGCGAGCGGGACAGCACGTACAGTAAAATCAGCTGTTTCTTTCTATCCGTTCTTAACAGCCATAAATGAAGCACAAATGTTCAGAGACATTTAATAATTCTTATGGCTTTTGTGGCGTGTAATGCTAAGATGTGAGACATTGCATTTTGCCTGTCATAAAAGGAAAATAGTTCCTACACCCGATGGTGGGTGGTCTGAAAAGTTTCAAGTAATTTATGGTGTATATTTGTAATTCATGGTCGATGTTCTACTCTGATTTGGAATATTTCTCATACTCATAGTGAAATACCTTCAAGAAATTAAACATCGTTCACTAAAACCAACACATACATATTTACAAGATCATGTTGTAAGAGAGTCATCATACAATTTTAATGCTGGTTTAGCTAAAAAATTCATGTCAAGAAAAAGAGGGCAAGTACTCGGAGTAGGGGTAGGAACCTCCTCGAGCTTGACTAAGTTTATTTTCATTTCTTTCCTTTTGTAAATGACAATATGGGTGTTTGTTACTTACCCATATTAAGTAAAATATTGAAGTAAATATTTTGCTCTTATCTAGATATAGAACTTAATTGCGTTTATGTAAATAGTATTTGCATTGCTTCATTCCTCCATCAAAATACCGGTTTGTTCGCTGAATTTCTCATACTGTTGTTTTGGTATGGAGGATGGTGTCTACTCGAGGTGTGAAATTCAAATTCTCCGAAGGAGAAAAGGTTCTATGTTATGAACCAGATCCGACGAAAGCAAAAGTGCTATATGATTCTAAGGTAATATAGTTTAAGATAAAATAGTGTATGTACGTTCTTGCACAATGTAATTATGTCTTTCGAGAATCTGTGCCGAGAAAAAAAGAATGGTAGACAAGCGTGCATGGCGACTGTCATTTGTTTTCATTTTACGCTTTCGTATTGGGAGGTTGTTCTATAAAAATGATATCAGAATAATTAAGAAGTACTCATCGTTGGATACTGAATGTTGCTCATTCGCATGAATCTATTAATAAATGACATAGAGTTGTTTCTCTTTATTGTGACTAAACAGGAAGTCATTTCATTTAGTACCGGCGAAGGGGAGGGGGAGTAACTGCAAGGTCCTGGCCAGGGAGTTAGTAGTAGAGTGAGTTCAGATGACGTTTTAGTATTGATTTCGAAGTATAGTTAGAAGATTGCAGTCAGTTACAAGTTAAGTGACAGATTCTTGCAAACAGTAACATAACTCAGCAAAATTTTGCCATGCATAAGCACATATTTAAAATAAAATATAAAATTAAACATTGGAAGGAGCATAAATCACTTTAATTTATAATGGATGAAGTTTAAGATAGTGATGGGACTGCATGATTTTCACATGTTCACATACATTCTAAAACTTTCGTCTTGTCACTGGGAACATTCTACACTCAATGTATTAACAGTTAAAATATTTTTTACACAAATTTTTATACGTTGCTATTCATATTTGGTTTTCGAACATAAATAGAAACTATTTTTTTAGTATCTATTGGAACACAGTCTTCATTTATTACAGGTACTGGAGGTTATTGTGAACAAGGACCAAAGGGGGAGAAAGGCAATAGAATATCTTATCCATTTTCAGGTATGATTGATTAAAATTTTGTTTAATTTTAGTTTCTTTTGGCCCCTACTTACTGAATTACTTTATTGTTATAATACTTTCCTTATGATAAAGGGTTGGAATTCTTCATGGGACAGATGTGTGAGTGAGGATTATGTGCTGAAGGATACTGACGAGAATCGGCAACTGCAGAGAGACCTGGCTGAAAAAGCTCAACTTCAGTTGTGAGTAATACTTGTATATTAATTTTTTACATTTTCTGTAATTATTCCAATATTATGGATTGACAGTTTGTATTGAACTGTTTATAATAAGAATTATTTGTATGAAAGGTTTGTTCTGTAAGGTACCAAATATTTGATTATGATAGAACTTGCGCTTACAAATTTTGTGCTAGTACAGTATTACTATTTAAGACCTGATCACTGTTCACAATTCTGTGCTGCACAACAAGCTATTCACTGGCTTGCTTAAATGGATAAGTTATGATTTAGTTATAACCTAAACTTAAGTGTTTATCAGATCTAAAACTAAGTTGACAGGGAAAATAATGTTTTGGAGTTGATTTGTTTTTGAGCTCACCAACTTTAATATCACTAAGGGTTTTGGTCGATAAATTACATGATAAAAGGCCATGTTATTTATTAACATTTGTTTTGTTGTTGTAGGGGTGCATACTTGTACAGACGTGAGCGCAAGAAGCGCCATCGGAAACTGTCAGAGAAAATTAGTGAGAGCCTGGAGCAGAAGAAGTTACGTCGACGACGTGGTGGGGATAGGTCCTCTGAAGATGGAAGCTCGGGAGGAAGCCACAGTCAGCGAGATGGAGACAACAGTGATGAAGGAGAGGAGATGACATCGTCTGAAGTAGAATCTTCTGGTGAAGCTGATGAGGAACGGGTACCCTTGGAGCTCAGTGATACGCTGAAAAGACTATTGGAGGAAGATCATGATCTCATCACAAAGAAAAATAAAGTAAGCTGTTGTGTTTTAATAACGTAATACTATGACCGTTTACTAACTTTAATCTATTTTTTGGTTAGGTCACATGAAATGACTGAGATTAATGACCTGAATTTACAGAATGTCCCAAAAGATTTATATACACATTCAGTCCATGGGATAAAGACGTTTTAATAAACTAAACCATTGCATATATCAGCATTAGCATTTGGTGAATTAGTTAATCTCGTATGTGTTCAAAATCACAGTTTTGTGGCACAGTTGACAGTTCTGAGCAACTGACTTACAAGTGGCTGCCATATTATAATGTGTATACATCTTTCTGGGACATTCTCTATATCACAACTGGAATGTATAGACTATTTATTTTCATTAGTAGTACCTTCTTTTGTAATATATAATGGAAGTTAATCAATGACACATGGTCATAGGGACAGTAATTGTAAAATTCATTGATCGAGTATGCATTCTTCTTTGTTAGACATGTTTACCAGCCACTGCCAACCTCTTATGAAATTCTGTAATTACAGGTTTTGAAGCTTCCAGCTGATCCAAATATAGTAACAATTCTCGAAGGATATGTAAAGAACTGTGCTGTGAATCAGTTGTGTGGTATAGGGGAGAAACCACAACGTCGATATCGTTATCATTACGAAAATAATAAAGGCAGGGATCTGGATAGAGCTTGTCGCAGGTACAGACATATGCATCTCAGTTAACCAGTTGATCTCCAGAAGGATTTAGCAGAACATGAGGCCTTCATTTGCAAGTGGTACTTGTAGTCAATGATAAAGCTCCTTAAAGAAAAATTGAGTGAAGACAGTGTGATCTTAATATCATTAGTATCACTTGTTATGATTCCTAGTGAAGACAACATGACTGTCACCAGAAGGCATGACAGTATGAAGTTAAAAGGAATGAAATTTGAGCTAGTTGAATTAGAATAAAATTAGGATTAGAAAGTCTGCATATTAATGAAGTAATAATGATGAAATTAACAGATGTCAATAGATTTTGGAGACAAATATGAGGAAGAAGTGGCCATTCATTAATAGTGCTGAACATTTTAAGAGAAACATGTTCTTTGTTTTATTATGTTTATGTATAAATGCAAAATTGTTTCAGCTTAAATATATGCAAAGAAGTTGTTGATGGTGTACGTATTTACTTTGACTTCACACTCAGTGACTTGTTGCTGTATAACCAAGAGCGAGAGCAGTTCGAGCAGCTCAGAAATCAGCAAGCAGAGCCTACAATCAAACAAGAAATAGAGTGGGTTTATCACCTTATTAAGTTTATATTTGTTCTGTGAATTGATTTATTACCATGCCATAACTAGTGTATCTCTCCACCTGCCTCAAGCAATTGCCATCTGTCTTTCTGCTTATTAGTGTCCAATACATAATCCCTTTTTAACAAGGATCTGTTGATTTAGTTTCATCATCTTATAAATCAATTTTTGAAAGAGCAGTGTCATTGTGAAGGGTTTGTTGTCTAAACAGGATAAAAGTTGAATGTACACACATTTTTAGTTCACCTTTATTATTTTATGAAGGGCTCAGGTCCCTATCCATATTCTGACCCTTGCCTGATAACCTTTGAACCAGCTGATGGACTGTCATGAGCATTTATGTGAATATCTTACCTTTCTATACATACCAGCATAACACTTGTTAAAAATTGAGATGGTGGGACACAGCACTGGTGCACTTTGATTTCACATCTGACAAGTTTAATATAAGCAGAATCTGTAAAGTTTAAAACTATATGCAGAAATGGTTTATTACGTTGTATAATTGTTAGTACTTTCTGCTGACATCAAGATATCTTTAAAGTAAAGTGGGTGTCATAAGTTCTGTCCACAGTTTCTTATTCTGCATTTTTATGGTCATTTCAAATTTTTAGATATGTCAAAAATATGAAGTGTTTGCATAGTTCATTATACTTACAGTTTTACATTAGTAATAGTTCCTTGACATGCCATAATACTATATAGCATATACCAAATGAAAATACAGGTAGCCCTCGATTTACGCTGGGGATGTTCCTGGACGAACCGGCGTAAATTGAAACAATTTTATAATGTAAATCAATGGGAAGTCAATGACATGCGTTCCCAGCACCCACACATTGACGATTAATATAATGATATTACATTTAAAGCTCTGAAATAACGTAAATAAAATAAAGGGAATTTAAAAAATATATTTTATACGCTTACAATCGGCAATGGCGTGATGAAGCGGCGTTAGTTCTCTGACGAAGTCCCTGGTTGAGGATCGTCATGTTTTTTAAAGAAGGCATGTAGTGTGGACTGTCTTGATTTCTTTCAAAATTTCATGATAGGGCCTCATGGATGACATAATGCTCCTCTTTGCTGTAGCACAAGGGCAAACTCGCATATGCAAAAGTTTGCCTTTCACAAACAGCTTTTACTGATTCATCGATCTCATTGGAGCAAATCCGCGTTAACAAAACATACGTAATTGCAGAGATGACTGTATTTATAATTTTTATTCAAAATCAGTGATGTAAGAATTACGATTTAGTGTAAGAAGCAGTAGGAGAAACATTATAAATAACAGTAAAATATATTTTTTTAAATTTTTGACTTTCTGGTTTCAAAATAAGCGTTATTATGAATCAGGGAAAATAGAGGGCTACCTGTATGTAGAAACAGTTTGTAGTCAGTATGTTTTAATGCTTGCTGTTTTATATATGCATTTGAAGAGGGTGTTAATAACATCCTATGTAGAAAACAGGTGAAAATAGTGTCAAAATAAGAGTGATGGTGTGTTAATTTTTACAATCTGTAAGAAATGCTGAAGCACAAAGAGCTGTTCTTTCAGGATTTATGACAACGAACTCAATAACGTTGTTGTGAAGGAGGAGGAGGATGAAGATGATGATGATGATGATCTCTCATTGCCTGGCCAAGATGATGAGATGGAAACCGATGGGCAGACCCACTGTTGTACTGGTAGCATGATGCACATAACAGGCAGAGAACATGGTTTGGATAATGGAGATACCACAGGTATAAATGGGCAGCAAATTAATTACTTTTAACTTTAGTGTTAGTAAACTCATTCTTTATCATGAAAAGTAGGAACTTATTTTTGATAAATGAATATTGAATGCACCACTTGAAATTTTAAGCTATGGAAGGGAATGTTTGTATTTTCCAATTGGACATTACAGACAAGTAATGAATAAAATTATTAGTGCCAAGTTTGTGTCTTGAAATAAAACTTAGAATAGTAGTAAATAAGACCAGGATTTATATGTACAAAAATGGCCCAATATTTACATATATGATCTAGATTAAAATGTATACAGACTATCCTGAAGATGGAGATGTGGCACTGAAATTGTAACACTGACAAGATTTGTCACAACCCAGAGGACCACAGTCTAACTCCCTTTAACGCTTACCACCCTTTGCCATCTGCAAACTGAAGTATTATACTTGTCTGAATTACCCACCAGCATATGAATACCAGATATGTGTTGAAGCTAGTGCTTCTTATCTGTATAATTTATTATACTAGGTGAAGGCGACAGGAAAAGAAGCCTGCGTTCTCATCGGCCAGATGCAAATGAGTGTATTTTACCTGATGCCAATGACATTAGCAAACTGAATGCTCGAACTCTGAACCATGGCACTAATTTCCATGAAAATCATTTTCATGTAATCAACATAAAACAAGAAGCACATCACTTCGCCCTCACCAATATCAAGCAGGAGCCATGTAACACACAGATGTCAAGGTTGGTATCTTTATTGTTACACTGCATATTTTGTAGCCATATTAGTGATTTAGTATGTGATAAAATGTGGTACATAACCCTGTTAACCATTAGTATTGGCAGATGAATTTGTGAGGACATTTTGTTTGTGGAAAATACATTGAAATAACACACAGAATAATTGCAAATGTTCTGATTGCCATTGCAGTATTGCCAGCACAAGCTCTCGGTGCTCCACTCCTACTATCAGCTTACCTCCTTTTGTTGCTGCTGGTAACACTGCTCATTCCCATGCAGTTGCCAGTTCAGTAGCATCCTCGTCACCAAAGCACACAACACTGTTGTCTCAGATACTTGCTTGGCAGCTAGTTCCTCAAAGCCTATACTCAGAAGTACCTGTAGCCCCATCACTTGTTTATGGGGCCATACATCTGGCAAGGCTATTTGGTATGTACATTTGTAGTTTTTGCTCTCGCAAGCTGTATAAAATGGGAAAATAACAGTACTTTCATGATAATGTGATTGTTATGTATTTATTTGCAGTTAAGTTACCTGATTTACTTTATGCCACAAACATGCCAGAAAGGAAGTTGAAAGTTCTTCTGCGTCACCTAGACATGTTTCTAGGGTGAGTAGGAAAAGAATATATGGAGGAACAGTGCTGGTAGTGACTGGCTGTTTATATGCATGAAAAAAATTACTGTTCAGTATTGTTAACATTTAATTTTGAGAAACAATGGACAGTATGCATGACTATATAAAATTAATAATTTGAAAATAACAGAAAACATCAGAATAACCAGTTTCCAAGCCAAGATTTAAACTGTAACCTCCCAGATAAGAATCAAGGGGTGATAAAGACTGTGTTATAAGAATATAGGATACTGCATGGAGCCAAGTCCTTAAGAAGTTTCAAGCTTAACTCTGTTGTTTCAGTTACATGGAGGAACACCAAGAATGGTTCGGTGAACAGTTCTATAAGGAAAACAGCAGTATCTGTGGATAACATGTTTCTTCAGATTTATTCTCATCAGATTCCTGTGCTTTAGTTAGAGTATTATTGTAGTGACAATCAAAAGCTTTTTGAGAAGACTGTATAATTGTGTTTTCTGAAATTTGTAATTATTAAAGTATTTTGTATAAAAACAGTGTAGTTATGAAATGTGGCATCACATTTCCTGTAGCTTTTAGGTTAAACCATGTTTTACTCCAGACCATTTAGTGCTTTGTGAAAATTCCATTGTTTTCCATATCTACTATCTTCATGCACCAGTATTTATCTTCTGATCATGAAGTTAGGCCAATAAATTACATGTTTTGGCCTCAACAGTGTAACTGTCTAGTAGTCTCTTTAATCGTCACTCAGATTGTCATCTGATTTGTCTATAGTTGAGAAGTCATATACAGGAAACCACAGTTGCAGTGCTTTGAGCACATATGGCAAATTCTAAGTAATAATGCCATAAATTTAGCCACCACATCATAGCACCTACATTTCAGTAATATTACATCCATATTTCTATCATCCATTCTAGCTCCTTGGTCTGGACCATTCAAGCTGAAATCTCCATTTTGATGCTGTTTACCATTTTCATCATCATGCATACAAACACACTTCAGTGCTTCTGAAATGTACTATAGCTTCTTTAAAATGGGAGTACATCCTCCAACTTTGTCACAATTACAATTAACTAGCTACAATATTAGTTTTCAATTTTAAAAGCTTGTCATATCTCTTGCATGTTGCCTCAAGTTCAGACTGAATGTTTGCACTCTGTACCACTAACTCCAATGCCATGTGAAAACCTTTCTGAGCTTGACGCAAGTTCTGAGGTACAAGATAACCAAACCATTTTATTGGGTCAGAAGCAGGCACACTCCCATTCTGTTCACCTTTCTTATGATTCAAATCATCTGCTTCTTTCCTTTCATCATCATCTTTATCTGCTCTATTTCTAAGGTTATTCTCCTCTTGTTTTCCCTGTGATTTCTTTTGTGGACTTAAAGTATGAAGTTCAAAGATCATGTGCTCCAAATTATTCTTGGTTTCAACTGATGAAGCTACTGTTCTTAGAGCTGTAATTTCAGCACTCCCTTCTGTTGGTAATTGCAGGTATGATACATTATGGTTACCCATTATGTAACGAGTTTTTGCTAATTCCAGGCAACCTGACTTCATAATCTCTTGAAGTTTTAATTTACATTTAATTTGTTCCTCCATAAGTTCCAAAGCTCGAATCATTAGGCCATCCAACTCCTTGCATACCTCGAGTATATCATGGTTCATCTGTAAAACAACACATTTTAGTTGTTATTAATGGGGAATTTAGAAGCATTATAAGTAGGTACTATATTACAAGGAAACAAGATGCATCAAACTGAACTAACTTTGGGCAAGGTCCTGATCAGGCTTTCTTATGACTTGTTGCTGAATCTTTGAATTCTAAGACCAGACAAATAAGTTACAGCAAGCTTTCTTTCCTATAATGTATCTTCAACATGCTCACAACATAATGCCATTTTCCTGTTACTGCTGAAAATGGTGTAATTAACTGACAAAAGAAGATGTTAATTTCTATGAATGAATAACAACATACTTAAACCATAAATAACACTTATTAAAACATAAGTAACAAACAATTTTTTAAAAAGTTAAACTGTTGAGGTAGAGCCACTGTTTCTGCTCTCACAGATTTGACTCCATCACATTCATATGTCGTAAAGCCCAGTAGCATGACACTCAGATACTGCAAGTGTCTTTATCCCATGAAGATCCCCTTGCAGTGCCCTTACCTACTATGATTGAGAAGACGGTTAGTGAGATCACCACTTGTTCCATACTTTGCCTATTTACCATGTCATAAAATCAAGTCCACATATCTGAATCCTCTCCCACATTAAAATTTACTAATATTGTACTATTTTTTTTCTAAAATATTTTCTACACACTTAAAGTACTGGTTTAGGTGTATATTATACAAAGTGTTAGATTTGTTACAAATTACTTTCCATTGCTGGTCAGCCAAAGGTCGTATGATAATGAGGAATCTCCGCCCTAATATAACCTATTAAGTTTTTTTTTTCACACTGAGCAATGCTTTACAGCTCATGTTCTTCTCAGTTGAAGCAACGGATATATATACTGATATTAAATTCACTCCATGGTATATTCTATACATGGTATGTGTTCTGAAATTTGTCTTACACTCCAAATAATACAGAGATAAAGACCATTATTCAGTACATTTGATATAGCACTTCTGCTTACCCGCCCATAAATATGGTAAAATGGGAAGGTCAAAGAAAGTGCACAATAAAATAATATTTTAAATATCAACGTACTAACCTCTACTCCAACGTTTATACAGTCACATGAAGTTAAGACATCTATTTCAGAAACTTTGCATGTGACCAACACAACAAACCTCTGGATTAACGTAACAAATGCGCCGTGGATCACAGATGAATATCACAGCCACAGATATTACAGGGAGCTTATACTGAATATGCCAACTAATGTATGAAATAATGAAAGGAATGCACCATGAATCACAGATTACGGTCTCAGCCACAGATGTGCGGGTCAATTTTCAAAGAGAACAACCATCAAAGCATGAAAATTCAGCTACAATTTGGTTAATTTTTGTTACATTTTATAATAATAACACGGGAAAACCGCACAATCCAGCTTTAGTCCAAGAAGTGGAACATTCAAATGCTGCAGAGCTTATTATGGAATAAAATAGAATTTATTTACATTCCATAGTCCTTCATAAACCTTAGCCAAGGATGTAGAGCAAGCACAGCACAAATACAATACTTGTTTATAGTACAAATATAACAGATATTTATAGATTTTTGGAACTACAGTATTACAGCAAAAATTATGATGAGAAACCATCACCATTGGAATCCGTCGCTAGTTGCTATTGTCCATTTACTGCATCCATTCCAAATGTTTTATGCTCTTGTTATCACAGTAGTTTTCCACATGCCTCTGTAGATGGCATACCAAAGCAGTGTTTTATGATTGTGTAGTATTATAAGTACTCAATAGGTGGCACATGTATGCAAACGATGCACATCCAAAAGGCTAATTTATACCGACATGGCATTACAACCCAGGAGACCAACATCTTAACCGCCGTGAAAGTAAAAAATGCCACAACTTCTTACATTTTTCTTCATTAAATGTTACTCTTGCTCGGAATCTGAGTGACCGAACGTCGCGATCAGGTGGTTAGCACTCCTGATTCGTGTTCAAAAGGTTCTGGATCCAAACTTCGGTCCGGAGACAGGCCCTTCTCATTGAGGATGTTCGTGGTGTTATTCAGTCCTCCAGGCAATTGCCGGGATAGTACCTCACTTAATTTATGCCACGACCGCTCTCTTCCATTTCCTTTCCATTTATTAGCATTCGGCGCTGTACAAAAGTTCCTGATAGCGTTGTTAAATAAACCACAAATGCAGATATTATTTGCAACTCTATCACAAACGGGCGCATTTCAGACACTTCTCTTCATATTTTGTAACTGTAAGAAATATATTAATGTACTTTGGTTTTATCAGTGTTATAAATTTTAAAAAAGCGAAATGGAAAGATGCATGGCCTTCTCAACATTGACTCGTACTGCACATGAGATATGTTGGCCGTCATGGAGCATAACTTTAGTTTTCTTTTTCTTTTCGTTTTGGAATATATTGAAGGGCAGACATGGCCTCTTCTTGGTCAATCTCCGTTTTATGCATTGCGTATGGAGAGTCGAATAGACACGAATCCCAGCACGGGTATTGAATGAGATAGGTACGAGAAGTGTTGAGGTATGAACTCAATTTACTTCGACTAATTCATTATAAAAGCAGCAAAATTTCTCACTTTACGACTAAATATCGGTCTCAAACATTTGACTATGTATTTTTTCAGTAGATAATACCGATACATTTTCTAGCTGAGAAGTGATTCGAGCAGTGGATCCATTTTTCTGGATGATTTAAGATATTACTCTTAGAAAAGGAGAAGAATGGGGATTTTGGTCAAATTAAATGTAATGCAAAATATATGTCCACTTTTAACTCATAGTGACATTATTTAAACACAAATAAAAAGATCACTTTACAAAGAAGACGTATATTCAACTAAATGCAGATATACATATTTCTAATACGACAGTGAGACTAGTAATTTATACAAATAAAGAATTTCAGTATTTATTGTAATTTTCTACATTTTACAAACAAATTTATTTAATTAAAACGGTAAGAATAAATTAATTCCGACATGTTCACTGCCCACTAGCTTGAAAAGATGTATTCTCCAACATTATTTGACGCTGTTGTGACTCTTACAGCATCTGTAAAGAGTTTTTCCATGCCTTATCGTGCAATGGTCACGTCTGCGCTTGGCCCGAAACCCGCACCAAACAACGGCACCTTGAGGAATATAATTGCGTTTAGTCGGAGAACCTGAAGGAAAGAGACCATTTGGGGGAATTTCTTTACCATCCTTCCTTCGAGTTGGTCACTCGGTCACTCCGTTTCTGAACTGACTGGGTTGGTGGCAGTCGAGCGCTCGTTTACAGAGCACCAACCTCTGCTTCAACCCTCCAGGTTCAGATTTCTTTCATTCAAGGTCACCTTTATTTTCAAGTCGGCTATTGTTTGCCAAACACAGCTATGCAAGTCATGGGTGATATAATTAATGGAGCAGAGGTAGTGGCCTTCATCAGTTGTGGCAGGTTTTAAAGAAATAATAATCGGTTTGCCACAAAGGTGTTCGGTGTGGAAAAGAAATGCAATTATCGCTTCCCACCACAAGTTGCTATGCCGCATTGTATTTTGGCGTCAATTTGCTACATCCCACTTACCCCTGCGTTTCAGAGGCCTGGTTCAGGGGTGTCTTTATTTCGTGCCGTGTTGATATGAAGTTCCAGTTGAGGATCGAGGCACTGGATGGTCAAGCCGATTGCATGCATACCTTACGTTAATTTGCATTTGTCTTCGTTTATTTAACGACGCTACGTAGTAAATACCGGAACACTGTGAAGGCAGCGGTGTAAGTCGTGTTCCATTTTAATGTATATAAACATTTCCTGGGTGGACTGAGGACCGTCATGAAGCACCCCAGTCAGGATAATCGGCCTCTGGAACAAAAATTAAATTTGAGCTTACGAAATACGATGTCACCCACTCAGACCCCGTATAAGACCGCACGCATTAGTGCTGGTGATGACTCGGGCGTAATTTAATGACGTTGCATAAACTGCAGAGGTCATTCAGCCTAGTAATTGATGGCGAAATGATATTACACACAGAACTAGGAAGATAAAGCTTTCGATGTGCAAGTTACTGTTTCTGAATATCCCACCTGGATCAACGGTGAAAGTACCATGTAAAATCATAGTCAAGATATCGTAATTCCGACCTACGTAAGAACCGATTATCTTCCGAACAGAAGTCCAGGTCGTTGGTACTGAAACATGTTTGGTAGATGTATTGATACTAAAAGAAAATACGGAACGTTGTTCCAACGATTATTGGCTGGGGAGAATCGAATTACCTGGGAAACAGCCTGCCCCAGTTCCACTTTCCTCACCACAGTATTTGCTCGACCTGGGACGTAACCCGTGCGCCGCGGTAAGAAACACCTCGAGGTGTAGCTACAAATTAATAACGCGCGCTACCAATTTAGATTATATGACGGTTTAAATACTTTTTTAACATGTGGTGAATAAATCGAGAACTATTTCAGATAGAAGTTATAATCACACCGTATTTTGTGCCACGCACAACGAGGACCTTAATAATAATGCACTTTGAGTTTTGTGTTCTGTTTGTAAGTATTCTATTCCCACCGCACACATGTTTTTATTCATATTCTGCCACCTTTCGGTCTAAATGAATTTCAATGCAAAGTAAAGGCTTGGGCATGCATG